TTTGGCACATACTAAAAACATTTATTTACTTATTTGTGTGTGTGTGTGTGTGTCTGTGTGTGCGCGTGCACGTGTGTGCGCGTGTCAGTGTGTGTGTTGCTGTTGGGTGGTGTACCAGTAGGCTTCAAGCCAACTTCATGTGTACCCTGATCTCCTTCTATGTGGATGTCAGGGATTGATTGAGATTGAGGCTTGGTGACAAGAACCTTTGCAGAGCTCTATTGATGGCCTGGGATCTACCTTTAAAATTACCTTTAAAATAAACACACTTAGAGAAAGAGAGAGAGAAAAAAAGAGAGAGAGAAAGAGAGACAGAGAGAGCATAATAACAGTATTATAAAACTAATGTTTTGGTATATTAAATTTACAGTCTTTCCACACAACAACCTTCATACTTATTTTTGCTTATTTTTACTTTTCCCCATCATACTGCAAAGGTTGAATGTGAAGCTCTGTGCTGGCGATATAAGAGCACAAACAGTGAGTTGTATTCATAGCCCTTCTTATTTACTTCAAGCACTATGTATTCTCATTAAAGAGAGTTGCAATACAAAGAAAACACTGTTTTACATTTTTTTAAAATTATTTGTATTTCTGTATAGGTATGTGTGTTTTTGCACACAAGTGCAGGTGCCTGTGGAGGTCAGAATGCATGTTGGCATCGAATTCAGATCTTTCAAAGAGCAGCAAGTACTCTTAACCTCTGAGCTATCTTTTCAGACCCCTGCCCAGTTGGCTTTTTTTTTATTTTGTTTGCTTTTTAATGCATTTTCACAAATGCTTCAGTGTTACTGTTTTGACCTACTTTTAAACCCAGCTTTAGCTTTTGAGGTAGCTTTTTAGAAACCAGAGCACCAGCAAAAGTGCTTCTTAAAATGCAACTCAGAATTAGACACACATAAGACATGAAAAAAGGAAGACTGTCATGCATAAACACATTGAAATATGTAAATACTGCAATAAAATGTGATGAAACAAATTTCTTTAGGAAAAAGCATAGCATGTTCCAATACTTTCTCCTTTTAGCTTTATAAATAACTTACTCTAGATTTGAATTGATGCAAGATCCAGTAATACATATTTTAATACTGAATCCAGAATCATAAAAGATGAGAGGCAGTGAGAGAAAGAGAGGAAGAGGGTGGGGATAGACAGAGAGAGAGAGAGAGAGAGAGAGAGAGAGAGAGAGAGAGAGGAGAGAAGGAGGAGGAGAGAAAACAAGCCATCTTCCCACTGTTTACTCTGTATATAAAAAACAAAATATGAACACTTGAGTGCATTGTACCTGCATCCAGGGTTTATAGTTTGAGATGAAGTTACAAAGCATTATGTAAAAGCTGGGGAAAGAAGTCAGATTCAGTTGTAATTTGAGGATTAAAATGCTTATCCAGCCAATTACACATTCAGGAGGATTCTAAAAGATTTAATAGATTTGGATCTTTAATCTGTCACAAAGGCAATGCCAACTTCAGGCAAAATGGCAAATCCTGAGATGGTCAAAATAAGACTTGCCTGGAGGAGCTTTGTTGTAGGTCTTCAATGAATTGACTAGAGCATGCTGAGGATTTTCTCAGCTGCTCTTGGCTCAGTAGGATGGAGACAAAAACAGCATGGGAACAGCAGAAGGTGGGTAGATAGCTCCAGAGAGGATGCAGAGTAGCAACAGTTATTGCAAACAAGGAAGTATCAGCCTTGTTGGAACAGAGACAGACATGAAAGCCAGGCCCACAGAACCAGCAGCTAAGTTAGTATACGTACAGACACACTCCGTGCCCTCGCGTGCATGCCAGTGCTCGCAGCCATCACACTTCCTTCCCGTGGCTCCAGGACGGCACGTGCAGAGTCCTGTGACTGCATCACAAGGAACAGGCAGGGAGCCATAAGGGTCACACTCACATTCTTGGCAGGAGCCTCCAGGGCTGCTTGGACTGCCAGTGTAGCCTGGGGCACACCTAGGTTGGAATAGGACAAAACCATGGAGATTAGTGAAAGTCACATCCCTAAATCTACTTGTGTGTGTGTGTGTGTGTGTGTGTGTGTGTGTGTGTGTGTGTGTTTGTTCCTAGGGATTGAGCCTAGGTCTTGCATATAAAAATATATACTCTGAATCTCTTTTTTGTTGTTGTTTTGTTTTAAGAAAAGCTATCACTAAGTTGCCCAGGCTGGTCTTGAACTCAGTCTGGAGCCCACACAGGCTTTGAACATGCTATCCTCCTACGTGCCTCATCCCCCTGAATAGCTCTGATGATGCATCTGTATTCCCAGGCCTGGCTTGGTCCTTACCATTCTAATATAAGATAACAAGTGTTTAATGAAAATATTATTTAAATAAACCCCCTGAAGTTATGTCTTAACATTTACACATGAAATGTCTTCATTCTAAGCAGGTTCAGGTTGATTAAATCTTCCAAGGGTTCATTACAAGACTAATGAAGATGAAGCATAGGAAGGGCTTCTGTATTATAGAGACAATCAAAAAACTTCAGCAGTTTTAGACCCTGACTGCACTGGGCAGGTCAAAGGTGATTTAAATGATCTAAGAGGCTCTCCTAAGTGGAACAAATTTATCTGGAAGGTTACAATAAAAATTTAATCAAGGCCTTTGGTTTAATTTAGTTGAATAGAAGCAACTTTTTAGAGAAATACAGTCTGATCACTTATATGTTAGAGATGGTAAATTCCAAGCTATAACAACATCCAAGAATTGCAAAAACAATTCAAACCACTCTTATTTGATCGTATATGACCCTGCTCATCCATAAACTGCAAGAACTACCAAGTCCTACTGATTCTACACAAATGCATATTAAAATGATGGATTTCTGTGATTCACTTTCAGACAGTAATTGTGATTTTACTATACATTCTTCTAGTCTTTTCTACATGCCTGCTTTGGCAGATAGAAATTATATGTTAGCTGTAACATAAAATATTTATATAATAAATTGCTAAAGATGATCCCACTGGTGCCCAGTGTTGCTTTTGGTCATGATGCTACTGGTGTTTACAAGAGCATTAAGTGAATATTCACTTAAAACTAATCCCAAAGGGTGTGGCAAACATATAGAAGATATAGCCTTATTATCTATAATTTATGTCCAAATGATGCTTACATCTTCCAAATAACTGAAAGTGTTTTTGGATGTTTGTAGTATAAACTGTTCAATATCTGCTAGTTCCCAGTGATATGGGTGATGAGAGTGAACCTTTCTGTACATTTATGAAAATGCTGGATATTATGTGTTGTTATCATATACAAATCTTTGAAAATATGTCTTACAAGCATATTCATTTCATTGGAATTAACAAGACTTACATCTAGTTATTCCATTCATTTTTATTGCCATTATTCTTATAACCATTGATGATTGTGTAAAAAAATCTTTAAGTAGTTGATAGGAAATAACAATAAATGATTATTTAGTTTTCAAAAGTGATTAATGGTTTAAGGATCTCCTAGGAGACTCTAGGTAAGTGGGCTGATAGACTTTGGAAAAGAAACTATAGGTAAGTGTGATTTCAGGTGAGTTTTCAATCTTAGCTTTATTAAATATAGAAAATTCTAGAATTTAAAGAGAGTTTCAAAATTTGTTCTGCTTTCAGACAAAGGATATAGAGATGTGTAATTAATCCTTTCTTGTTAATCCTTGACTATGAGCCACCAGGAGAAAAGATGAAAGTAAATGCTCAGGGTAATTACACCTCTTTCTGTGAAGGAGCCTAGGTAGGACACAAACAAAGTCCCATACACATCCTATTATCAGGAAGGCAGGGTTAAGTAGATGGAAAAATAGGACCCAGATAGGTTGCTGGAACTAAGATAAATCTATGAATTGTTAGGAAATTATTAATTGATACCAATTATACTAAGATGACAGAAAATGAACATTTTGATAATGCTTAGTATTCATTCCCCTGTCATGTCTGAAATACTAGAAGTGGTAGTAACCATCTGAACATCTGGCTTCCTGATCTCACATAAATGTGCTGGAAGATATGAATTTATTGCCCAAGAGACAGTCAATCTAGGACTGTTTTCCTTAACTTAGTGATTGCATGGTAGCTAAATTCAATTTAATGGTGCTTTATTGGATTTTGTATGTTCAGACTGTAAGAAACTTTTGAAGAGCATTGAAAGTCTACTAAAAAGGGGGCTTAATAACTAACACTTTATTGTCTAGATAGGACTAAGTAACTACCCTCATTACCACCTAATTCCAAAATACACAAAGACTCACTAGTACAAGGCCAGAATGCTATGAACAATGGAGCATGTGAAGTTATTGTTAGACACTATTGGTCAGTGAACTAGCTGAGAATCATGTGACCAGTTTCTCAATTTCCATAGCTACTAAGAAGCTTTGGAAAAACCGAAGTCTGTTCTTTTAAAACTACATCTGACTCTGTTTATACTAAAATATAAATAATCATGAAATCATTTGGGATCACTAGGCCTCAAGAAGTTAGAGCAAACAATTTTTTAAAAGAAGCAATTCTGAAGCTATGAAAATAATCTGAAGGATTAATGACTAGAACAGAAATGATGAGGTTACAGAAACAATTAATGGAACCATGACCATTTGTAATCTCCCTGTGTGATTGTCAATACCTTTCACAGTACTGTCCTTCATACCCCCGTGGGCAGGCTGTGCATCGGTAGTCATCCAGGCCTTCCAGCACACAAGAAGGGCTGAAGCTGAATTGAAAAAAGAAACATAAAATGATAATTATTTATTTGATAAAATTCAGTATTTCCACCTATTACCAAGGTTGCTAGGACATTTTGAGGTATGAGATGTTAAATATATTTAAAAATATTGATACTGTTCTTATTTATGGCAAAGATAATTAAATACTACTAATGATAACAAAATTGGTTCATTTTTGAGGCATTAATAAGGTACCACATTAAAAATATCAGCATTTGGGAATTTTTTAAGGATTCTATGAAGCCTATGTGAATATTAAATATTCAGCAAAGATATCACAAAAACAATTTTGATGGGAACTTGTATGTGTGTCTTTATATAGTAGACCAAGGATCACTGAATGCCTTTCAGGCCAAAAACCATACAACAAAAAAAGAGGATACAAAAACCATATAATTTTGTCCCTTAAATCCCAGTCCAACTTGTCACTGGCAGTCCAACATGTGGAGTGTCAATAGTTCTTTCTCATTCAGAATACAACAGCATCTTTCCTAATCTACATTCTAACAAATTTCATACAGTAATTTGATTTAGTATGTGGCAAGAGGACAGAGCTTTCTATATGAAAATGAACAAAATTAGCTTCCAATTAACTTCCTAATATCTGGACTTTGAAATAACTGCTAACTTCTCTATCACATGTATATATCACAGCCAGACCACAGCTCAAGGACAGCCTATTACCAGGGTGTGTGGGGTGGGAGGGGAGGCCTGATGAAACTTGTAAACTAACTAAATTATCATATTGTTTGGGATTGTAGCAAACTTTTCTCCAAAACCAGTGCTTCATTCCCACTGGATAAGATTTTACAGAGCCTTAGAAACTTAGGAAGAGAAAACTTCCTAGTTGTCAAGCAATGATGCTTCAGATATTCCGTTTTATTGTTTGGAGTCTTCCAAATATGTTCATATAAAGAAGCAATAGAATGTAAAGTCCAAGAACCACCAGATGACAGCACATACTACAACCATATTCTTGGGCTTGGGCAGCAATTTCTTATAATTTCTTATAGCTATACATTCATGAAATTCATATGAATGCATGGCTCATGAGTGGATACCAAATTTTAACTTTTACAAAATGTGTGAACAAATGAATCTACTACTCACAACTTTGTTATCTAACCAAATAATTTAATTTTGCATTCCTAAGAACTCAGAACCCCTAAACTCATAACTGGCACATCTGTCAAGTTTCCAGTTCTTTAACTTAAAACCAGATGCTGAAAAAATGTGTGTAGGCACAGGCACATCACATTGATATTCATACATAGGCCTAGGAAACAGATTCTAGACATTTCCATTACAATTCTAGACTGGACAGTAGAATGAAATTACACTCCATTTCTGTAAAATAATAAAGTCTTCAATAAATAAATATCTTTAAAAAATACTGTGTGACCTATTTCTCTTTAAATCTATACTGGCTCCCTCTCTGATGGTATCTCTTATTTTGCTCTCCTCTGTTCTTCCTCACAACCTTCCTGCTCCTTTATGTCCTCCTCATCTTCCTCTTTTCCCCTTCTCATTCTCCTAGCTCCCTCTCTCCTCTCCCCATGCTCCCAATTTGTTCAGAGATCTACAAGGATGACACCAACTAACCATCTAAGCACAGTGGAGAGTGTACCTTAAATACCTTCCCCTGATAATGAGATTGATGACTGACTTATACGCCATCCTAGAGCCTTCATCCAGCAGCTGGTGGAAATGGAAGCAGACACCCACAGCTGAACACTGAACTGAACTCCAGTTGCAGAAAAGGAGGAGTGATAAGCAAAGTGGACAAGACCAGGCTGGTGAAACCCACAGAAACAGCTGACCTGAAGAAGGAGGAGCTCTTGGTCCCCAGACTGATCACTGGGAAACCAGGATGGAACTTATCCAGACCCTATGAATGTGGGTGTCAGTGAGGAGGTCTTGGAAATCTATGGGGCCTCTTGTAGTGGATCAGTACTTATCCCTAGCATAGGAATGGACTTTGGGAGGCCATTTCACATAGAGGGATACTCTCTCAGCCTAGACACACAGGGGAGGGCCTAGGCCCTATCCCAAAGGATATGACAGACTCTGAAGCCCCCCTGCCATGGGGGCTCCTCACTCTTCCTGGGGAGCAGAAACGGTATGGGATAGGTAGGGTGTTAGTTTGGTCAGGGGAGGAGGGGAGGGAGAGGGAACTGGGATTGACATGTAAAACAATCTTGTTTCTAATTTTAATAAGAAAATGGAGGAAAAAGAAAAAATACTGTGTGAGAATGTAGCAGTGCTGGACAAGCTGACACAAAATGTGGAATGATGGTTTTGTGACAGAACTTGATTATTTCCTTTGAGTATAACAAAGGACTTTGGGAGGAACATGTAGGAATCACATCTCCCTAAAGTTAGTGTTCAGTATTTCTCCTCAAAGATACCACTTCCATCTCTCTAACCCTGCTTCTCATATTGTCTGCAGGATCATTTGAAACCCTTGTGTGTCTCTCTTAGCGACCACCTTACATATTCCCCTGTAGTGGCTGGTTTCAAACATATCACCACACAGTTTGTAAAATTTACGGGGTTCATTCTGTGCAAGACCTTCCGTGGATTATATCGCCAACTGGCCTCCTGGGAACCACTTCCTTCTGGTTTTGATCCCAGTTCCAAGGCTGCTACTTTACTGCATCTATGTTGTGCTCTTTCTTCGTCTGTTAATGTGATTTCCAGTTCAGATTCAGATTTCTCCTCTAAGCTACCTCCTTTGTCCTGAGGGCTTTACATATCGAGTTGACTCTAACATCTAAAGCTGATTTTCCCCTTCTCTAAAAAATGCCCTTGATTTTACTCAGCTTAGTCAATGACAATGCTTCTACCTCCTCTGCGAAATGCATATCGTCAGTGTTGTTCCTTTCTTTTGTACTCTATCAAACTGTTTTTTTTTTAATGTATAAGTTTCACTGGGGCTACTTTCAGTGGCTTCATCACATTATCCTATGTTGTGCCACCTCTGACTTTCATGAAATTGCTAGCATTTGCCTTTCTCCCTTCTTCTGCATTCACTCTACTCAAGCCACGTTGACCTGTTGAAGAGTCAGTGCACTGTTTGCCCTCAGCTGGACTAATCATGCATCCATTCCAGTGGCTCATTCTACTACCTCCATTGACATCACTGTACCAGCCACATCTGTCTGTGGAGGTCATTGACCTTTACTGAAAATGGTGCAAATGCATCCTTTGTGGCTACTTGCTTTTTCCTGGAGGCACTGTCTCTATATATTACATTATATGTCTCTTTGTTCACTTTCTTACTCATGAAAAAATACAAGCTCTCAGACAGAAAGACATGGGATTATTCTTCTTGCTTATACATTCCCAACATGAGAAGGTATTCTCAGATGGTGTTGAATTGGGCCCTCAGTAAATATTTGTTGGCCAAAGGAATAGATAAGATACCTTTATCTTCATGAAATTCATAATTATGCTTGATCCATACATAAATGAAGGACAGGACACATGTTTTCTCTCTTTTCCAGGATATTAGGATGGAGTATTTACTACTTAGGATAATTTCAATATTTGAAAGAGCATCTGATTGCAGTCAAGATGTAATGTAAAATTCATTAGTGGCATGAAAAACTACTAAGGCATGCTGTGCTGGGGAAATGACTACAACAGAAGTGGCCCTGGAACTGGACTGGATTTAGCATGGATTATCTCAGGTCTTAACGAGAACAAAGATTTCTATGTGTGTTTGGAAATGAGCAAGGGGCTGCTAGATAGGCATTGTGTGGAAAGGTGTTGTGGGTCATAGCTTGCAAAGGCAGGCTGAACTAGGTTTCTGATACTGCCTTCACCCAACGGTGAATAAGGGGTCTGCCCTTGCCTTGGGTGTGTGTAATAGAACACCCAACGGTGAGTAAGTGGCACTACTGAGTAACAAACACTGTAGAAGGTTCATGTATTTGGTTTGATATGAGGCAAAGAAGCTGATGCGGTGACCGTGAGCTGGCAATCACCGAGTCTTCCTTACCTCTTATTTCTCATGGACTGCATAGACTACAGTTACTGAAATAAGACATTTCACCTCACCCATCTGTAGCTCAGAATCTATTTTCACACACTGGAAGAAAAAGTGCCTCTTTTTGCCCTGACTAGTTTTTCTACTTTGCCTCTTAATCCGTCGTACTGGCCATAGATCTTTTTGTTAATTAGGCTAATATGTTCCAAGCTACAGCTGGTGAGATTAGTGGGTCATGAAATCATCTCAGTCTTTTTGACTAAGAGTTCTCTAAAAATGAATGATAAGAAAACTGAATAAACGGTGGGATACATGCATATATATTTGAGTGTCTACATGTAGGCTTTTGAACACTGGTTATGGTATTTCAAAGTGACTACTTATAATTGTGGTTGATAAAGTCTGAATGCCATTTGGGGCTGCAACTATGATGATTTGAGTCTTTAAGTCTCGTTGGCATAAAATTTATACTGAAATAACATGAATCAAATTATGAAATAAAAATATGAATTAGATGTTATGTTGATTCTGCTAACCAAGCAAGCTGGTATTCTATCTGTGCAATTCCCTAAAACTGGAACGTTTTCCTAAAACTGCCATTTCAAGTCCACTTCCACTATTGTCAACTTTCAACAATAGCCCTCCCTGTTAAAAGCTGCTACATTTTCTCAGTCTCCTTTGAGAGAACAATACAGCATATTTGCTAAGTATTGCTTGTCTTCCCCTTGGTGCCAGTGACATTGTTGCCCGAGGTTCTGCTCTGTCTGGCTTCTCCTGCATTTGTTTTCCATTTTCTGGGGCTGGAGACTTCTATCACATAAAGAAGCCCCATTTTGCCTTCTTTCTATGTGCTTCCCTTGGGGAACATCTGCCTGGGAAATCCAATCTGACTTTAATTCATTTATTAACATATTTCTTCCTTCATCTGCTCCTGCAATTTCCAGATTTCCATTCCGTGCAGCTATTTGCATATTTCTATTCAGACAGACCTTTCACATCAATTTGAACCCATTTACACCATAAATTACCTGTCTTCAGCAGCAGCTCTCTCCTGATTTCCCTGTGTGAGTTCATGGCTCCACCATTTTGGGGGGGGGCAAGCGGGCTAACACCCCTCAACTCCTGACTGGACTCCCCCCCCCACACCTAGGTAGTCACCAGCTCTGTAGCACCTTGTGCAACATGCTCTTCACATGTGCTGCCATCTTGTGATTGTTACCTGGCTTCCAGCTCTTATTATCTCTTGCCTGGGTTGGTGTAATGTCCTTTTAATTGGTCTCTTTGCTTTTCTTCTTCACCTACCTCATTTCATTGCATTCGGTTCTAGCATATCACGGTTCCTAAAGTGTAGCTCTCATCATATTAATATTTTTTTAAAAAAGAAAACCTGTGTGTTTTAAATTAACATAGGAAGTTAAATAGTAATTTCATGGATTGGCAGTCAAAGATTTCTCCAATACACTCTCCATTCTCCTCGTTATCTTCGGCAATAATTGCAGGGCCCTGCTTATAATCCACACTCACAACTCTCTTGCTTCCTAGCTCTTAAGCATTCACTGTGTTCTGTTTTCTAAGCATTTGTGTATGTAAATTCTTACTACCCAAACTTATAAGAATCCTTAATCTACTCTTTCTTTTTACATATTCTTAACTATTTTCCAATTAAGAATGGTATTTGTGACTTTGAATTTTGTGCCCTGTGACGATTGCTTTTAATGCCAATATTTTATAAAAAGTGTCTCTCCAAGGAATGACAGGATTCTATTTTGCACCTTCTATAAGTGTCAGTATTATAATAGAAACAACAGGGAATTATTATTGATTTTTTAAAAATCCAAATGGTTCACATTTTAATAAACAATGAAACAAATGGCATTCCCTTGTTTAAGCATGGGCACCAGAGGGAGAGCTGGGAAAAGTAAATAAGAAATAATATTCTATTTCATACTCTTATCATTTTGCACTTGAACAATGAGATCATACATTTTGTCTTCATCAATGTCCAGCATACCTTACAATTTATGTATGTCACCCTGGAGAGATTTATACTCTTGCAGAGAAAAGGGGAGTAATTTGTACATAACTGTTTTTAGAATGCATACAAAGATAAAGATGAGGTGTAGGGACAAACCCTGATTAAAAAGTACCACGGGCATGGTCAGAGTTATGTAACAAGGGTTTAAGAAGGAGGGAGGCTGTGCAGGGCTCTTTTTCGCCTGGCTGAGCTGACTAAGATGCATTTTAGGGTCCTTCCTGCTCAGGTGCAAACCTGGTCACTGGCTGCCTTGCGTGAGTGCTTTTCCCCAATAAACCACCATTTATAAACCTATCTCTGACTCCACTTTGTAAACATCAATAATGAGAAAACAGGATGGACATGTACCAGTGGAAGTTCATTTTGGCTGAATGGTTCCGCAGTTCTTTTATACTTAAGGTATCCAGAATTCCGGTGCTAGTCAAACTGTCAAACTTTCTTTAAGAAAACAAATTCTTAGTAGAAAATGAGTTTCTCATGTAGAGATTGAAGTATATAAAGCCTAACAGAAAGCCCAGATAGTCTTAGCAAAAAGGTAAATAAGAAACATTGAAAGGTTTGTAACAATAGATATAAACCAAGGCAGAAGGTTCAGACAGCATGAAAATAAGATACTTCACCACTTCTTTCCCCTTGTGGTGATGTTTCCATGGTACCCAGCTCAAACCATCTGGACAGAAAGGGGACTGTGCTCCTAGCTGCTACTGACTTCTTTAAAAGAGCTTATTAGTAAGTTACACAAATTTCATTGTGCTATGTTTCAATTGCCTTTTGGTAATTATTTACCAATATTTACTCTAACATATAAAATGATGTGAAATAGCCACAAATGTGATTTTGTGTGCACTCAGACAATCCTTCATAGCTGATTCATAGCTAACGTGTAAGCTCAAACCAGACCTGTGCATTCATAAAACTGTGTGCCTGTAATACATTACTTGTATTACATATGAATGTCAATGTTGATACTTAGATTTTATTAATAAGTATTATTTACTTCAAAGAGGGTGTTAAAAGAAAAATGAGTCAAAGAACATACACATACTGAATTTGGTTGTGTTTTTATCTTATAAAAAATCGGTGGCTTGAGATTTCTTGTCTACTTGGAAAAATTGGCAAATCATAAAATATCAATGTACCAGGCATATTGGATTACTAATGGGAAAATATGGTTATATGTATCAAACTTACTTGTTGCTGGGAGAAATCAGAGGACAAGCACATGGCTGACAGTCATTTGGCAACCCCCTGACAATTCCATAGTAGCCAAGGGCACATCGCTCACAGAAATCACCAGCAGTATGATGCTGACAGTTCTGTAAAAGAAAATGGAAGAAGAGTTGCTTTTAAGATACAAGGAGTTACAATGTGCTGTATCATGTAGTTCCCCAGCAATATCTACAGAGAGGGAGGAGAAGGAGGGATAAAGTTTACAATGATCAGTTCTTAATTCAATTATCTTTAAAGATACTTCTTCATTTAAGAAGCTGATGCTGTGTGTGGTAGCTAGATTATCAATAAGAGCTTCTGTTTTGCCTAAATTGATTTCTGTGTACACTTTTATTTTACTCAAAATTAGCAAATATAAATTCAAGAATCTCTTAAATTTTAGCTCTATGAGGAGCTGGGGGAAGGGCTAAAAGACAGGGTCCCTGGTGCATGCCTGTTGGGGGAAAATCATAGTCAAACCAAGGAGGAAAACATAGATGTGGTAAGATGATGCACACAGAAGTGGCCAGCCTTGTTACTACACCATGAATGATATTTTTCTATTTCGTGAATAATTTTGTTGGTTCTTTACCACTATTGTAGACTCAATCTGACACTGCAACCTTTGGTCAATATTTCTGTTTCATGCTTGAATGATGAAAGGTATGCCACTGATATATTTGAAGGCATATTCATATGGAAATGAGAAGAGTGAGATAAAGTTTAGGTAAAATATTCTCACCAAGTAGAATCATACTTTACAAAGAGCAACTAGTATGGATGGAAGAGAAGGTATATCTATAAGGCACTCAGATGATGAGAGAAAAGTATAATAAAATAATATCCTACCTTGTTGAATTTATATTTACTTTAGGAATTTAGAGAAGATGACAATTAGGAAACATAACAACAAAAATGCAACCATGAATATTGTTTAGTAAAATACATGATTCTTGATGTTGAGAGTTGGGAGGGAAAGCATTTAGAGCTGGATTTCTAACAGCTCAGTTTTTGTAGGACAGGATTTGGGGCGGTCAGAGCAATGACCTATTCTATAAAATGCTAAAAAGTGATGCTGAGAAGCATAATTCAGTAACAAGATCCACGTAGACATACACTTCCCCTTCCAGTCTCACTTGCAGACTGTGCTGCCTATGTACGCTGAGCTAGCCACAGGAGAGCACCTGAAAGTTGCTACTTATGGCTCCTCATTTACTTGTAGGATTTTCATTTGTAAATATGTTGTTTAGTTATTATCATTTAATATTCTTCTTACCAGGATATAGTGCATGTCATCTCTTATGTCAAATATCCTTTTCTCTTCTCAACATTCCTTTGTGTCCTAAATATGGCTTAACAGTCCCTCCTAGCTTAACACCATAAATGAAACAGCATCATCATGCAGCAACTCTTCTAAATGACTGAATGAAAGAGCTCATGCTCTACGCAACATGGAAAACATGGGCCAAGACTGTTCATATGGAAAAGGACAGGTACTACATCTAATAAATGCAGAAAAATGGTCAGCAGGACAAAATAATCCACCACATTATGATGCTGATTTAAACGTCATAATCCTCCTTTACTTGACTATCCAGATTAATCTACCCATCTTTGCAATGAAAGCCTTTCCATACTTCATGGCAACACTCTAAGAGAGAATGATTCCAAAATAAAATAATTACATGTGTATCTTGGTCTCAAATCATCTAACCAGCCATTGAAGGAAAGTGTTTCCTGAGAAAGGTATTAAGATCACATTTTATAATTGCGAAAATATGTACCCAAAGACATTTTTTTCAATAGCAGTCTTCAGCATTTTAGCTTTCCCAACAAAATAACTGTGTTTTTATGTAATCTAGATATACTAGTAACAACTGAACTCAGTTGCTTAAATATAACAATTATTACTAAAAATACACAAGTCCAAAATGTGGTTTTTATTTTTCTTCAATCTGCAATTTTACATTATTTGGTTACTAAGAAAATGAGCATATTTTAACCTTCTCTGGATTGTTGCTCTTTCACAGATACACTGATATGCTATACTTGATTAAATGAATTAAATATCCTGGCTAGTTATGTAAACAAAGCATATAATTCATATGGCTATTTTAGAAACTTTGATGTGTAACTCTTTCAAATGACTAGCCAATATTTTTTCAAACAGTGTGCATAATATTTTCTCTTATATGGAAATTTTCCTATAGGGAGATTTATATACTATGGTTACCTAATAAGTTTAAATACATTCAATGATGTCACACATTAGTGATTTTTCATAGAATATGCAAAATCTGCATGCTTGTTTTAGATGATGCATTACAGGTGGACCATGTGTCTTCTACAATAGACAGTGAATATGACCTAATCTTGCAGCATTTGAAACTTAAGGTGACAAGTAACTGAACATAAGCTTACACTATTGGGATACTTTCTAAGCTTTCCTTCAGGCATCACAAGAATGCACAGTCCTCATAAAGCAGGTCTCTCCACCTTACATGACTGTCAGCAATAGAATTTACCTTGTGCTGTCTGAACAATTGCTTTATTCTTGTCATGGCAGCAATCTGAGTTCTGCCTTCCTAACCCAGGCTGATTAAGTCTAATATCTATTTCCTAGATGCTCGAATATCTAAAACCACCATTACATCATAAATATTTTGTTGTAAGCTAAGCCTTTAACAATCCTAGTTACTCAGAGTTTCTTTTAAAACACAGGAGATTATAAGTGTGTTACTGAGATTTGCAAACAAATTAAGTGTCTTTCTGTCCTTGATTTCTGGAGCTTGTACAATTTATGATATCCCCATGTTCAAAGGTAAAAATGCAAGCCAAATGTTCACAGCTAATAGATTAATGGTGCATGTAAGTTGATGTAAAAGATGGACCATAGTTAGCTCTGGAAACATCACTAACAGTATGAAACAGCCTCCAAAGCACAGGTTCAAGTGATCACAGGTGACATGATAAGATATTTCAAATGTTACATTACATAAAGCTGAAATGATTCCTAATGTTTTGGATGATAAAAAACATGCTAACAGGTCACCTTATGACCCACAATTGACAATATGAAATTAACAGAAAATATTGATTCAGTTCAGCTGTCTATTTTTTTCTTGAGGCTTTTGGTACTAAGTATTTCCAATATGCCTGCCTTATAGAAGGTGCTGGGATATAAAGATGGAGATGACAGCAGTGTATAATATTAATTCATTTGATGTAGGTGTGCTAATTGGATTAGATTTACTAGGTGCCCATACCATAGCCTTCAAGTACTATCTATTTCCCAAAGAGAGGAACTTATAATTGAATCAGACAACAGAGAACATTGGTGAAGAGGATTTGTATTTTTCTTTTCCTTCTCAAGTTGTAATTATAAGGAGTAAAAATAGTATTTCTGCGAACTACATGATCTTTAAAATATAAGTTCGTTGAACTGTCAGTATTTCCTTGTGAAAAATAGGAGAGATAATATTGACAATGGTGTAGTGAGGGCATCTATTGTCCACTCGTTTACCTATCTGTCCTCTTATCTACCTGACTCCTTGTATATGTGTGTCTACTAACTTATGTTAGCACACTACCTTCCCTTCTTGGAGCATAACATTACATAGGTATTAATCTTTCATTCTTAGAAAAACAAGTTCTATTGGGAAAGCAGCAGCCACTTTAAGCACTAGTAAGAAACCGTGCAGAATATCAGAACTTACCAAAACCTAGGATGAGCCAACTACTCTATTGAAAGTACAATATGGGGTTAGAATGAGCAGAGTCACACAGTAGTGTTTGTTTGGGAGAATTATTTAACCTTATGTTTCTCTGTAATTAGATGTGTTCTTTTTATTGCTTATAAATAAAGGGAAAAATTAAAATAGTCAAAAGAATAAATGAGTGCCCATCTCTCAATAGCACCTCCTCGAGGGCTTTAGCATGGTATTTGTTGAATGTCTGTGTCATTTAGTCCTTTGTTGAAATCCATGCTCCTGATACAATCAGATGATTTAGCATAGAGTCCTCATGATTGGGAATTGTGACCTTACAAAATCTTCTGCAGGAAACTACTATTATACTTCCTTCCCCCACACAAGGACACTGAAACATAGCGTTCTTTGTGACCAGCAAACAGGTGCATACTAGACACAAAATTTGTTGATGCCGTAAGAACAGCCAGATTCGGGAACTATAGGAAATAATTTCTATTGTTCATAAGCCAATGATCTTGTGGTGTGGTGTTTTGCTCCAGTAACCCGAATAGACTAAGATAGCGAGAAAATCTTGCATTGTGTTAGACATAATAATGATGACCTCAATTGTTTATGAAGTACCCGTTAATTTGTTCTAAAACTGTAAATGAAGTCTAACATGGTCATTGTCATTATCATTTATAGTGCTTACAATTTTATTTTTAAAATTTTATTATTTTTATTTTAAGTGTGGAACTTTAGGTAACACCAAAGCTAAAGAAACTGACTTTGCTCATCCAGTCAGTGAGAGGTGAAGCCGGGATTTGAGTCAAGGTAGTGAATCTGAAGCTTGCCACTCCACCAAAGCTAGGGACATTGCAGTCTATAACAGAGGTAGCACTAAGCTGAAGCCCAACAGGAGAGGAATCACTATGCATTTGCTTCCTCAGTTGAACCATGAGGTTATCATGGTTGTTTCTTATTTGCCTCATAGCCCTGTTTCTAAAATAAAGTTGTCTAAATTCAAAAGTTGTAAGTTCCCCTAAGGACAATATAAAAATTCAGGGCATAACAATTTATATAACTGTGTATTTTGATGGAAGTATTTATTTGTTTCTTACTTTATCTAGGGATTTCTTAGGAAATAGACTTTCACTGAGGATTCTTAAGGCGGAAAACTAGCTGTAATACCCAATTGAACAAAGAAAACAGCACGAAGACAACAACTTTTATCCTAATAAAAGTGAAATTAAATTCTCATTTATGGGTACTTCTGAATCAATTATATGAATCAAATGTAATTCTTTAAAACTATAGAAGAATAGTACATTTAACTTGTGAGTGTAGTCCTTCCCCCAAATTAACTGTTGAAATTTACAGAGAAGCAGAAAGTAAAACTATGACACCAAAAGCAAACACTAATTATTTCAGGAATTCAAGGATAGTTGATATTAGTTTTTAATTTCTCATGGTACTCATCATTTAGTTGATAAAACTATTACATGATCACATCTTGAACCAGCCTTTACTCTTATCCCACACTCTACAATAAAGTGTGTGCTATATTTTAATATCTCTGCCTGATTGAAAGAAAGTATCTCTGAGAATACAAGAATAAATAGATGACCTTTAATATGACAAGAAATGTTTTTCATAAATGAATCCCCACCACCAAGATTTATGATAGAACAGTGAAACAGTAATATCAAAATCAGGGATTATATAGGCTGTTGATCATTTGTCTACTTAACATTTTGTGTAATTCCTAATTTATAAAATGCACAAATTAGTTATTACAGATATAGTTTATGACAAGAAGCAACATAATTACAAGTATTTGCAAGCAATAATTTATAATGATAAAATAATATAAATAATTGAAAATTTATAGGTTGCAAATAAAATGGTTGAATTTCAACCATGTTAAGAAACATGTTAAGAAAACTTTTACCATAAAGACTAATTAGTGAACGAAATGAAATGAGCTGCTAACACAAAACTACAATATTTACCAGTTAAATTAAACTGTATGATATATTCAAGTTTACTATATAAAATATGTAATAATCTATATTTTGTAACAGCTTACTCTAAGATATGATATGTTTGAAGATAGAAGACAATAACATTCCTGGGGGGAGGAAACATAACTGAACTGTGTAAATACATCAATTCCTTATAAAGAAGTTTGATGCAATTTCAATAAAAATTCTAGTAACATATTTGGGGAAATGGATCAAAATAGTGAATAAAAATGTCACCAGGATGAATATATAGATATCTAGTTAGGAAATGAGAAGAATTAAGTATGATAAGACTCTTGTTTACTACATCACACATTCTAAAATGAAGGGAAGCAAAGCATTATAGCAAAAACAAAAAGACAAGTTGAACAGATGCTTTAAGCAGATTTTAATATGGAAAATAATTGTGGATATATATAGAAATCATGAGTCATGAGGAAGAGACAATATTAATCAATATAATGTGTCTTTGCTATAATAATTGCAAGAAAAGAGGTATCGCTTTCCCACACCATAAAAACATCTCAAATGATTAGAGAAGATTTCAAGTTAAGAATCATGTAAGTACTGTATGATCTCATCAGACATAGGTGCTGAAACTCACATGCCTGTAAAGATCACCATGGGAACAAGTGTAATTAGGGATGCAAATAGCACTAAATCCCAGTAATACCATGAATTGATATCTGGGCAATGAGGAGAAAGGTAAATAGGGCTGAGGATGGGGAGCCAGAGGGTTTGAAAATTCTCAGTGTTATGGCTAGGAAATGAACCAAACTCAGACTTCCATAAAGAATGGGTAAATACATGGTGGCAACTCTGATGAAAGGTGAAGAAGGGTGAGTCCTGGGGCTAAGTGCGTCATTCGCTTTACCACAGACTGAAAGCAAAATCTTAACCTGAGTAACTGGAGTCCTAGTAGACTGAGAAAAACTGTGAACAGGCCATTGAAAATTCTTTGATGGTTTCTAGAAGGAAACAGAGCCAAAAGGGTCTTTTTTCCATTTTAAAAGATGATGTAGATTAGATAGGAGGTTAACAGGGTGGTAGTCTTGAATGGGGAAGAGAGGTGAGGTCAAGAATGCCCAGAGAAGACTTGATGTCTCCTTCTCAGACTTTCTATCTCCTTCCTTGTTTTCTAGAGATTGAACACAAGGACACATGCACGTGATGCTGGTGCTCTACCATGAGTTACATGTCTAGCCTAAGAGTTGACCTTTTCCAGAAAGATTAATTCTTCCAATGGAAGGCAAGTAATCAGAGTAAGAGGTAAGATCAAGGGATCATTGAGGTCATATAAGTTATGTTTCTTTCTTTTCTCTTCTATCATAAGAAGCAACTCCAGGGACTGAAGCGATTGCTTAGTCAGTTAGAAAAATGCTTAAGTGCAAGCATGAGGATCTGAGTTTGATCCCCAGGACATAAATAAGAGGACAGGTATGGTGTTGTGTGTTTGTAATCCCAACACTCTAAAGGCAGGGCTCTCTGGCCTGCCAACATAGCTTACTTGGTAAGTTCCATGCCAGTGAGAGAGCTTGTCCAGAAAAAACAAAGACAAACAGGAAGGAAAAGACAACCAAGGTAGATGGAGACTGAAGAATGACATGAAAGAAGTAAGCTGATTTTAAAATGAGATGAGGTATAAAGCTCACTGACGAGATTAGAGCGTAGAAATATTAAGGACTGAATGGGAGATAGTGACCAAAGAAGAGGATGTTCAAAATGGAGACTGCAAAAACAGAAGAAATTGAGAGGGAGAAGAATGGAGGACTGATGTTATGGACTTAAAACCAGGAGGGATTACATTAGTGGTTTTGTTAGAGAATGGACATGACACAAGGAAAAAACATTAGCGAGCGAGGAGGGTGACCAGAGGGCTGGTGTTCTGCTGATCAAGTAAAGACAGTGCAAAGACAAACTTGGGAATGAGTCAAAGCTGAGTGGCGCTACAGAGGAGAAGGGGTGGGTGTGAGGCTGGCAGGGAGGGGAAGGGACACCCACCCTTTCTTCTGCTTTAGGGACATGAAGATCATGAAAAAATCAATGACTACTGTTTAAGGCCACAGGGCTGGCAGTCTGTAAGGAGAGAGCCGGATGTCTATGAGCAACCTGAAGAGAAAATTAGGGGAAGGGGGGGATTCTAAATGTGATTTTGTTGCTGTCTAACCATGAATTCTCCAAGGCTCAGTTGAAAGATTTCAGAAGACTAGAGGAAAATGATGGGACAAAAAGATATTCAGAGCTATGAAGCAATTCAACTTTATGGGATCAACAGTGACAGGGGAACCTGAAATGCCAAAGGCAAGGGACAGGAGAGTCCTGATTGTTCAAAAGCAAATGGTGGTTCTGGGTTCTGGGCATCATCAAGAAGGTGCAACACTGAGAATAGCCTCAATTGGATGAGAAAAATGTAAGCTATAGGATATACAGTCAATGCATTTAAAGATGTTCATGATAGGCACATGTAAATGCAGAATATAAAAACTCTAATCATACTGCATATTTTGATTTTAAAACAGGCAAAATTAGTGGGAAATATTTAAAATATTAACATTTTGTCTTAGGCTGAATTTGGGGAAACTTGCTTTTCATAACATTTCCTTTCTTTTTGACTGGCCCTCTCTCCCTCCTTCCCTTCCTCTCTATCCCTCCTTCAGTCCTTCCATTCTTCTCTGTTATTTGTAACACTGGAAATCAAAGTCAAGACCTCATCTATGCCACATGCTCTCTATCATTCTAATTCTGTAAATATTTTGGTATAATTTCCAGATTCCATAAGAAAAACTACTACTCTTTCTTATAATTACAAACTAATCCATCACATAATTTTTGGTGAATGCTTTTTCCTGTTATCTGGGCTGCTATCATTCTCTTTTTGAGAAGAACTGAGTTTTTCCCATCATAATTTTTCATTATATCTTAAAATGACAAACATGGTGACTATACTTTCCCCTTGCATGTTTCATTTCAAGCACACAGTCATACTCCCTATAGATGAATCGGCCTCTGTGTGGAGGACCTGCAAATTTGGAAAGAGAAGCGAAAGTACAGGTCTTGTCCATGAAGCTGCAAGTGCCTACCTGGCATACTGAGGTCTCAGGATCACACTGGCTGCTGTGTCCATTACACTGACAGGGAACACAGGTTCCTAGGGTTGGTCCAGGAGTTCGTCCTCCTGGCTCAGAACGCAGCCGGTAAAATCCTGGTGCACATGTCTAGAAGAAAAGGAAAGCAATTAGGAAAGGCATAGTAGCACTGTTGCTTCATCAGTACCAAAGGTCTCCAGTTGTTTTAAAGATGACATTGGTCCATGCCCCTCCATGTGTGTATGAGAGTTTGGGGAGCACACTTACATATTTCTGCTTAGTCCTTCTGTTCTCAGATTCAGGCAGCCCCCATGTAGTCATATCTTAGCAGAGGAAAAGCTTTCATTTGCCTTTAGTCTGAGAAGGCCTGGAAGTGTCTTTTTCTTGTGAGGTTTATTTTTAACTGACATTGTCATATGGACTAACTAACTAACAATTCCAGTGTCCTCAACCACCAAAAATATACTTCTCTGTTTTTGAAGGATAATTAGCAAATGTTCAGAGAAACTCAGCAAAACACGATAAAATATTCATGGGTACATTATTTATATCAATATGATTTGAAGATTATAAAAAGGAAAACTTCAAAATAACAAAATCTCTATGTGTCTTGAGACCATTGGGCAGGCCATTCATAAAATTTATCTTCTCTTGATCTATATTTTTTTCATTTTGCAATAAAAATCCAAAACCAACAGAAAAATTCTGGCAAAGCTGACACATGCAAAACCAAGAGTTTCATCTTCATGAAGGTTTTGTTATATAAATGTATCAAAAACATCACTTGATTTCTGTAGAAAGGGCCTGGGCATGAGATGAGACTGCCTTGTGTTCCAGGCTCAATGGTCTCACTCATCAGACAGCGTTTGATTTTTGATTAAGGAGTAGACAGTAGTTCTCAGAAATGACTAAGGATTGTAAAGAGGCTATTTCACTACCTGGTTAAGTAGTGTTTTCTTTCTTCCCTTCAAAACCTTACTCTTGTTGACTCGAGAATGACAGCTGGCTAAGTAGGACAAAAACATGTTCTACCAAGAACTTCCTAATGCTTGCACATGCTTTGTATGTGGCCTAAGCAGCCCAGGATGAAAAATGCAGAAGTCCCCCAGAAAGAGAAAAAAAGTCAATGCTCAGTACTCTCCTGGTGTTTATTTTGATTTGTTTAATGTGTACCTCAATTAAGCAATTAATTAAGAGTCTCTTGGTTTTTATTAGCGTATAAGAAATTATAATGAGATTTAACACTTTTCCCATTTTGAGCAAACTAAAGGAAGACTGAGCCTAGTAGTCAACAAATAGCAAACAAACAAACAAACAAACAAACAAAAAAGCCAAGCTTTGCATCTATTAAATATTATGGTGCATATATATATATATATATATATATATATATATATATATATATATATATCACAGAAAACAGCATACAGGGATTAGGACATGATGTACAGGAGACTGGGGAGGTAGCACAGGGCCTGGAGAGGTATCTTAGTCGGCAAAGTACTAATTACTTTAGTATGAGGACAGGAGCTTGGATCAGTTGAAGTCATGTAAAACATGGCGGGTGTGGTAGTCACTTGTAAACCCAGACAACACTGTGAGCTCTGAGTCATTTAGAAATCCTGCTTTAATCCATAAGATGGAGTGTGATCAAGGAAGACCTATCAACCCTAAATCTCTACACTCATGCACTCACACATATGAGAACATGCACAAAGAAACCTACACAACCACTCCCCACACACACAAACACACACACACACACACACACACACACATACACACACACACACACACACACACACACACCCTCTCCTTCCTAACCCAAAATAGTGTATGGTGTAGACTGCGGCAAATTGTTACTATGTTGACTTGAATAAACTTGCATTTTATTTACATGAATCTCACACTTAAATATCTTTCTAAATATTATTATTTTGTTGGTTTATCTGCTCAGGGTCTGTTTGCTTGTTTGTATACTGTGTGTAAGCATGAAAACTATGCAAATTGGGAGGAATTTCTAAGATCTATTTTATATCCCACCCCCCAAAGAAAGAAACAAAACTTATGAGAGCTAAGTAAATAAAAATACATGTCATTGTGGAAAGTCAATTCAGAGTTCTGGGCTGAAATGCACTGGTAATCCTGGAGTGGTTTGTATTGTAATCCACCAGGTTTTGTTTCTTATTGCTGTGGCTCTTTCTTGGGCACTAACAAGCTGCCAATAGTGTCCACAACCCAAGTTCCACGATGAGTTCTGCGAAAGATGTTCTAGGTCTTTCCTTTTGGTTTTTCAGTTATCTGGGAAATTTTGAAACATGCTGATGCTTGGTTCCACCCCTGGAGACTATAATTGGTAGTTAGCAAAGAGAAGGGCAAAGACTGGTCATGGCGGAGCGTCACAAGCACTGTTTTTAAAGTGTGTTTGAAAAGGGAAAATTGACTTCTTGGGGCTGTGCCCTAATAAATATAGGAACTGTGGTGTCAATGTTAGTCTCTGTGAAAGGTGTGGTCCAGTTAGTGTCTTTGTGATGTGGCTTCCTCATCCCACAAACCATCAAGTGTATTAACTGAATTGAAAGTTAAAGTTTCTTCTAGAAGTTTAATATTGTGTCCTGGTGGACTGTATTTCTTAACCAAGAAAAGAGACTGTTTTTCAGTGTAAGAATTGGAGCATCAAAAAATGTTTAAAACATGTCATATTTATTTCTTGTCAATCCCCTCTTTTCCTGGATCCCTTTGTATTTATTCTTTCCAGTGAAAAAGCAACAAAAAACAAAACAAAACAAAAAGCCCTAAAGGGTTTTTATTTTTTTTTAAATACCAATTGTTTTTGCCCTCACTGACAAAAGAGGAAAAGTTTAACAGCATAAAGAAGTTTCAATTAGGACAGAAAAAGAACTACTTTTAAATTTTCTTAAAAATTTTTTTTGGAGGAATACCAGCCTACAATCCACAATGCTAGAGAAGCTAGTAAAAAAGGAGGACCCTAAGAGAGACATACAAGGTCCCCTGGAGAAGGGGAAAGGGACAAGATCTCCTGAGCAAATTGGGAGCAAGTAGGGGGGTGGAGTTAGGATTCACAGCCTTCTATAATGAGGTTTGTTGCCCTCTCCTGGCATGCAGACATACATGCAGGGAGAATGCTGCTAATGAAATACATCAGGGACTTAAAATTTACATTGCCTAGACTACTGATAGGTCCCGATTGACCCAGTCAAACACCATACCATTCAACTGTGGTCCTGAAGCCTTGCCAAAACAAGGGGTTAAGGAAGAGGGGTTAAGAGGGTGGGACTATCAAAATCGCAACCAGACATCATTATCAAACTCCTGTTCTCTGTGATGTGCTTGAAAAGTGTCATACAGCTAATGCTAAAAAGTCATAGAAAATGGTATCTGCATATAATCTAAGTTAAATTTAGGTTTAGGTAATAGTCTAATCCTAAAATAATCTGGAAAACAGGCTAAGCAGGGTGGTTCTGTAAACAAGTATAGTGCAGACAGAGAGACTTTCATTTGACTTCTAAAGGAAGTCTAGTTCCCACCTTCAATCAATATTAATTGGGTATTTTAAGGTCAAGAAATTGTGATGAACAGAACAATAGTGTCCTGTCACTCCAGCTATTAGGCAAAAGTTTAGTATCTTTATAAATGGCAGTATTTTAAATGGTAATACCATTTAACTCTGTCTTTATGCAATCTCTTTTTTGTCTAAAAATATGAAATGCAGCTTACCAATGTAAATATCTATAGAATTCCACCCAGTTGGTGAAGATGTTGTAAAGGAAACATTTTGTGTATTCATAACCCAAAGCATATGTTCCTGGAATGGGATGGATTATTTCAAAACTGTCTTTAGTTCTTGCTTTGATGATTAGATTTTTATGCCTGGGTAATTACACTTTAGAATCAAAATGAATTATAAATAAGATGTATAATGGATTAGAGACAACGGGATGTGGAGAACATGTCAGGTATCTTATTATGGGAGATAAGCTTTTATCTCCATAATCTCTTTACTAAATCCTCACCATGAACAACAGTGCCTGTGAATAGGAGCCTGAGTGGAGCTCGCAGGACACAGACAAAGCTTATGTGGATGCCTTCTAGGTTTTTCTTAGTTTCTTTCATTTTCATTGGTTTAATATGTACTAATTCATTTTTTCAAACAATGGCAAATCATAAAAATCAATGCTATAGTGTAGTTTACTATTTTTAAATGCCTCTAAATCACAATACAAACACTGACATGAAGTATGTGGAGGTGTGCAGACTGCACTGAAATGATTTCATGATCTTCCAATATTTTGTGGGAAATGAAAAGACTCACATTAAATAAATGGAAAGAAATGTAGACATAGTAACTTTCTCCTCAGGATATCTGAAGGTCAACTTGACTCTGAATATTTTCTATAGGAAAATTACATTACTGAGCCAGAACTTTCAGAACGCCCACCTTATAGCTTCAATAACTATATATAATAATAATGAGGTCTGTGGTAGTTAAGAGATTTGGCCAAGGTCACACAGTTTTCAAGCAGTGCAGTCACACAATGAAACAAAATTCCATCTCTTTAGAAAAGTCTAAAGTTCTCTATCCTGTACACTTTCATCTTTCATGCTCACTAAATGTTAGCCCATTTTGTGTGTGTACATTGCCTCATTTTCCAGCCATATACTGGTACATGTTTGAAAGGGTACAGAGATAAATATAAGAGCTTGTAGTGTGTAAAAATAGACACATAGACACAAGGGAACTATTACTTAATAATGAGATGGATTATTTGATTATTTATGATATCAAAGTGAGCATATTATATTGAATATCACCTTTTAAACAGGTGATGGAGCTGCTACAAGGCATTTCAGTCACCCCATGAAGTTGTTCTTTGAACAGTGTGGAGCCATACAGTGGTACCTAAGCTGAACAGCACTGATTTGCTTCCATGAATTTTCACTTATATGAATCCTTGAGGTGATTCTCTCTAAGGATTAGCATTAAACCAGAAAAAGTGCCTGAAGTGGTGGAGTGAGGAAGAGTCATAATATCCAATGTCTATTGTTCTTTACATAAGCTATTCAGTCTAGGGAAACATGTATTTGATATTTTAACTACATTTATTTATTTATTTATTTATTTATTTATTTATTTATTTATTATGTGCTTTGGAATGTGTATACCACAATGAATGTATGGAGGTCAGAGGGCATCCTGGGGCAGCCTGTTCTTTCCTTTCACAATGTGGGTCCAGAGAATTGAAGGAAGTCAGGTTGTGAGGTTTGTCAGCAAGGGTCTTTGCTTGCAATGGCAACTCACCAATCCATATTCAGTATTTTCAAGATGTATTTTAACTTTGACCTGGAGTCATGCATCCCATTTACAAAATAATATATACTATTTATACTAAAAATATCAGTACATGTGTCATAGAACCAACTCTAATGAATAAGACTGACTACAAACCAGTGATATGTGTGTTAGGTTCATAGCTCATACAATCTTCATAAAATTCTTACTCTGTAGGAGGTGGAGACATCAATAATATTCAGTTGTCATGCAAATGGCACCAACTAATGTGACTAATAAGAGAGTATTTGGGATGCAGCAGGTCCCAAAAAACTCTTTAAAGCCAGGCATTAAACTGGGAATCTACAGAAGGCCAGATGTGGAAGACCAGATGTGATACCATTAGTTACTTAGGGACTTGAGAATTTATCATGTCCAGTTTAAAGAGGTTTAGAAGTCTGTACGAAAGAGCCAGGTGGTGGCTCATGCTTTTAATGCCAACACTTGAGAGGCAAAAGCAAATGGGTCTCTATGAGTTTGAGACCAGCCTGGTCTATAGAGTGAGTTCCAAGACAGGTTCCAAAACTACACAAAGATACCCTGTCTCAACAAAACAAAACAACAACAAAACCTATGTAAGGTTTCAGCCCTAGAACATGATAAAGTTTAGATTCAAATTCATCCCAGCTCCTTAACTCTCCCAGCTCCCCAATATTCCTTTTATGAATTAATATTTGTAGGAATTGATTAGCCCACCAGAAGGTATTCAAAGGAATATCCTATCAATGAAAAAAATGGTCTTAAAATTGTAATGACTGAATGATAATAGCACCATTGGAACAAATTTATGTCATTTTGAGAAGAGTACATTGAATGCAGCAGCCTGCTATTTGGTGCAGAAATTTTGTCTGTTCTATATAGAAACACTCTCAAAACAGATATAATCATATCCTACAATCATTGCAGTTTAAATACCTCTCACTGCTCAGAAATGGTGCCAAGAAGATAGATGAGTTATAACAAACCAGCTTTTTGAAGCACACTCACTATCCCCTCCCCGACTGTGACATATCTTTCCATTCTCTTATTTTTTATCAAGCATTCCTCTTCAATTGTGATTCTTTATAAGGTAACAATGCCATTATCATGTTGCCCCTCTGTCTCACACTGTGTGTGAAAGATCAAATAGGATAAGAGTACACACGGAAGTCAAGTGCAAAGACAGTTTGGGAAGGATTCCTATTTGCCTCTGGAAGGGAACCGAGCTTAAGCAAGTTAGCAGCAGCTAGCTTACCTCACAGGACAGCCCTGAATAGCCAGGAGGGCAATCACATCTTTCTATCAAGTGTGCTGGTGGGCTTGATGCAGTCACATGTCCTGATTCAGCTACTTCCATAGAGATTTCAGAAATGCTAGAAAGAGAGAGCAGAGTTCACGATCAAACAGCCACACACAGCCTCTCCAAATGACTCAAGCCAGGCTTCTGCCAGTCACAGGTAAATTCTTTTGCTTTCTCATTTTCAATGAACCCAAACACACACGTTTATCAAGGTAACATGATATTATCCATTGTTTAAAGGGGCCATCAAGCTAATACCTATATTGTTTTGAAGCTGCTTAAATTCCAGGGACTCAGTTGCCATATCCTATCACTATATTTTTTTTTATTTCCTCTAGGTCTGAGATTATGCATTAGGAAAATATCCACATAAATCCTAAGGAGTTTAGTAAATTGGATGTCTGCTATCCTGTTGAGAAGTTATTATAAAGACTTTTACCCCCCAGTTTTTAAAATGTGAGTAGCTTCATGCAGACATGGCCAATTAATTAGATATTTATATTCCTTCAGACAACCCAAGGTCACTCTCTCTTAGAATGTCTCCTGTAGTCACAAGTGAAATTGCTTTTAATTTACTTTTTTTTTCCTCTGGAGCCTCTGGTGTCCTTTCAAGAACTTTGGAAAGCCTCCTAGAAAACAATGCAGACCATGATCCAACCCCGTCTTTAAGTGAATAAAGAGCTTTCCAAATTAATATTTTATTAGCTTTATTAGATAAATCCTTCAAGTGACTTAATTCACTCTTCCTATTGGTGAGAAAGAAAAAAATATATATTCCCAGTGAACCCACTGATACCTTCTTCATTAATTTGAAATTACGCATTAAAATATATATGCAGTCCATAAACCCAGACTATTTCATGACTGACTAACTGCAACATGAAAATGTTCTGCAAATAAACTTTTAAGTGAAACACTGAATAGTTTTTCCTCAATAAAGGGCACCTCCAATAGTTTAAAGAGGTTGAATCATAAACTTTGTAACAACCATAGGTAAGTTTTATTGAATTATGAATGCATGTACTGGTATCACTGGCATTTTGATTTGCACTTGGGAGCCTTATTGAAACCAATTTTGGGCTAAAATATAGGTTTCGCTTTCTTCTCCTTAGAGTAGCATAATAGTTGTGAGCTGTAAACAGTCACTCCTCTCCGATAAGAAAGTCTTTAATGCTCTGCTCTCCTTGGACCGTAGAGCAAGAGAAAACTTGTTGCTTGTTTGGCCAGCCATCTCTCCTCTGAAACCCTGTGGGGCTCCATAGCTACTTCAAGAAGAAACATGTATCATTTTGTCTTCATTCTCATGTACATGCACATGTACGTGAAAGCCATGTTTAAAAATCTAGAGACTCTTAAACAGTAGCAACAATAGATAGTTCTGCCATAAGTAAAGTTTCTCAGGTGATTAGAGGAGCTTACATGTGGGTGAAAGTTTGGAGAGGTGAGGCAGGGAAGTGCAATGGCTTTGCTGTGTCTTATGATATGAAGTGATATGGCTTCCATTTAAACCAGTACTGAGTTCTAGAAGTTACTTCCTTCAAACTACACATGCAACTCTTGAACTCTCTTTTGGACACTGCTATGGTTGCTTTAACAATAAAGATAATGGATTATGTCCTACTGGGGAGCACATTTTAAAGCTTTTAAACTTTTGTCAGGATTCCACTGTCTTCAATGGTCAAGTGGGGTGATGTATCTGCCTTACTTGTTCTCTTGGTTAGCTTAAAACAGTTTTGATAGGGCTTAGGAAATGTGATATATAGTGAAAAATGAAGACAACACTAGACTATCAGTTATATTATCAATGTTTTCTATGAACTTCCAAGTTCTTATTGTTGTCTGCACGAATCTGCAAAGTAGTCTAATTGAGTGTCTAATATGCAAATCTACTTTGGCTTCTATTACTAGTGTTCATTTGCTATTTTAAGATAATTAACAATACAGGTGACAGTGCCTTTTCTCTTCTATTCATGTTTTTATTTTTATGATAAACCAAGGGAATAAAAATGAGGAAGTGAATTTTGGTTCGTGATTAACTGTTTCACTGAAAGCCCCCAAATCAATCATGTGAAGAGCATGAATCTTCCAGTAGACAAAAAGGAGTTCTCAGGGAGACTGTGTGTATGCCTGGCTCAGTATAAATATCGGAAACTTAGAAAATTTTGGATTCATTAGTTTGACTATGAGAAGCTTCCTCTTTTGTGTTTATTTTCTTTAGCTTGATATATTCATTTGTCATAAGACTATTTTACAAACATGGATTGACTCCATGTTTCTCCAGAACATGAAAGAATATAACATGCAGCAGAGACATTGAATTACTAAGTAAATTCAGCACAATGTTCAGCATCTACACCACAAACCTAATCTCATTGGATGATCCTTCTACTAGTGAAGGTGTCTCCTGGAGCCTCCATTGTTCTCTTTATTCTACATTATTTTATTCTATTTTCTCTTTCCAATTTCAAGTTTTAGCATAGTCTATAAACATGCTTACCTATTTTTGAAATGGGATAATCATCCCTTGACTTTTGTCATTGGGTCATTCCATCATTTTATTATCAGAGTCATGGAAAACAATAGTTGGCACTTTCAGTATTAGGTTCTTTGTGTCTCATTCATTCTTTAACTCTTTGAGACTATTTCTAACCAAAGGCATCAGTGAAAGTTGATATTGGAAAAGGCAACAGTATGGTCCCTATAATAAAGAAATTAAAAAGACCCTAACTAAGCAAGAAACCTCTGTTCCTAGGCTGTGAGACAGGGAGCCACAAGCAGTTCCAAAAAAGAAAAAGAAAAAGAAAAGGGAAGATCAGCACATCACCAACTGCGTTAATACCAGCCCTTAGCCCATTGTCTCTAAGAAATCTAGGAACTACATGGCCTCTTGATCTGCTGGTCATAAATCCACCAGACCACAGGACATGTTAATCAGCCCCACCTAAAACAAAAGACAGTTATATCTTCTTTGCTCAATACCTATTATCTTGTGATAACCTTGTATAAAACCTTTGTAAGTTTGCATGAAACTTTGAGACATGAAATCATGGGTCTCATGACCCTCTTCCCCTTTTGCTCTTTAAAAATACTTCGTATTTATGGTTCTGGGCTTCATCTCTCCTGACAGAGTGAAGCCCCAGCTTGCTGGTTTTCCTTGGAAATAAAAACCTTCTTGCACTTGCATTTGGATATTGTGGCTCCTTGAAGATTTGGGGGTCTCTCTCTTGGTGGGCACAACAGTCCCAAGTGCCATTCGCAATGATGTCTCCATCAATTGGCCTCTTTGACTGACATGGCAACACTGAATACTCTCTTGAAATATTCCAAGTTTAGCTTCCTTGGTGTCACATACATTTCTTCAATACATCTGCTTAATTTTTTTCACTATGATTTTCAGTCAACTTACATCATGATATCCAGAGTAAATGAACATGTATGCTATACTGGCATGGACAGATGAGAAAGCTAAGGATGGAGGAGAGTGGACTACTTGGCCTTGAATGCTCACATTCATATTTCAAGGTCATTTTCTCAATAATCTTAAAACAGATTTACAACATTACAGTTAAATTTATGTGACCAACAGTATGTACTATCCTGAAGTTTTCCTGGTGCATTAAACTCACTATGACTAATGTAAATAAGAATATTGTTCTTATGTTATTTATACTGGGGGTAACTTATGGTATCTTCTCCCAGGTGACCAGAAGCCTCCTTTGGTTAGTCTTCCATCACTTTAGTTCCAAATTAGCCTCTTGTTGGATTCTTATCTGGTGTCTCCTTGAGGAACCCTGTAGACCCTAGAACAAGAACTTAACTTGAGTGCTCTCTATTATACTTTACCGGCTTTGTCTCACGACATTTCCATAAGTAGCCTTGATAAGAATATAGTGAATATCGTAGAGTATATCCAAGAAGTCTTCACGAGTCACAGTTCTACTGATTCGAGGATCATCACCATAATATTTCCATTCTTTCTGTAAGTAACAAAAAAGCATATTGTGATAAAACTGAATGCAAAAAAATTAGAAGCTTTTCACCAAACAACTACCAAATTTACCTCTGTCATTTCAATCTCATGCCTTGTCAACTGGCCAATGAGAGGGGCAGCCATGTGTCTGGTGATAATTCTAGCATGAGTAGGAGTCCCACCTCGAATGATAACTTGAGGTTTGTATGTTGAGAAGCCTGTCTCATCCCGAGCCTCAAAATAGATTGCATACTTGAGTTTACCCCCATAGGCCATCAACTGAAAAAAAAAAGGAAAAGAATGATGGCTTAGATAAGCCTCCAAATGTCCTTACTCCCAAACATTGTTTTACCTTGTTCACTTGTGAATTCGGGGTTATTTTTACCTTTTTTCCTTCAAATTGTTCTGGGAGTTTCCAGTAAAAAGGTTCCAGATGGAGATCTTGCCTGACTTCATCCATCTTTGCAACAATCTCTGGGTGCTGGAAAGCAATGCCTTTGGTAGTTGTGTGCTGCAGGCCCTCATCCACCAGAGGCAGGATGGTCTGCTCATCACTCAGCATCACCTGCAAATTGTCAAAGTTCAGCAGGAAGGTGAATATGTGTGTGAATACGAAGCACTCTTTTAGAGTTAAGTATGGAGACATGCCCATTTGAGTTGCTGTCCCTACTTTGATGAGATATCACAAGAAAAAGAAAGGAGACATGGTAGGTAAGGGCAGACTTGCAAAATAAAACTCATAATCTATAAAAATTGGAAGTTTTTCACTAATAAAAGTTGAAATTAAATTCTGGAGAGATAAAGGGAAATTAAAGTCAAAATAAGCATAATCCCAGTGCAAACAATGGCTAATTTCCTATGACTAGTTGGAAAGCATACAACAGGTTGTGGTTTTCAGGGCTGTATTCGATGTCAACAGTCACAATCTGGCACCTTCTTCCTCAGGATGTAGAGGCTTCCCAAGCCAGAATACCATGCCTCCCTGGCAATGTTTCTAGTTTCCACTTGTCATCTATTTCCTTATCAACAGTAAGTGAGCAATTTTCTAGGAGGAATTTTAAAGAGGCATTTATGCCAACTGCCTAATGGCACATAGAGCCTTTACCATTTTGGAATGCACACAGGGGACAAGGTTACTTAAATGTTTTGCCATTTCCTACTGCCCCTCAGGGCTCGACTAAAATTTCCTACAGGAATGAACATTATACCATTACATGGCTCAGCGGCTTCTTACTCACCCACTTGCGGATCAGACCCTCTGCTTCAGAGCACTGACTGGTAACTCCAAAGCAGTAGCAGCTACTGCAGCCAAGTGGGTTCTTGGCATCAAGTCCAAATTTTCCAGGCTGGCACCTGTCACAGTGGACACCTTCTACATTCACCTGCAGAAAGAGGAGGGTCCTTCAGGGTACATTGTTATAGGAGAAATCAACGTAAGAACAAGGGGAAGTAACACATTTCTTTTTCATTTAGCAAAATAAAACTAATGAATAAAGACTATGGTATTTACAGCTCGTATCTCTGACAGAGTTTCTTGGTACTTTAAAAGGTACTTGATTCCATCTGTTACTAAGGGTGCTGTATACTGTTGTTGAGATCTTGCAGTGCATTTGCTATGACTTCACTGTGAGCAATAAGATTTTCAAAATCAAAAGAAACCAATGATTACCAGCTATGAAAAAAGTCAGGATGCTAAAACGCAACATTTATATCTTTAATATTATACAAATGCTATAGCATAATGGGTATGCAACATGCCGCAAATATAACATGTGACCATAATATAGTGGGTATGTGTGGAGCGTGCTAATCTGCTTAACTGGGGTCCTTAGTGAAGAGGATATTGTTTTCTGAAATTCAAGGGGTGTTCACTTCCCAGATTTCGACCTGCCACTTCCCCTGGCTTTCTTTGCATAGACTTTGTCTTGAAAGGCTGTCTGTGACCCTGTTTTAACCACATTTTTCCTGGGATTGATTACTTTTCCAGGAATATATAAGGGCAAAAAAAATCCCTCTTACCCATTTTAATTGGCTGTTTTTCTACATCATTTAACCGTATTAATGAGGACTGAAATTTGCACATAGTTAGCACTGTTTGTTATGTCAGCTTACATTCATGATGGGATTTTACTGAATTTCCATAGCAGTAAATATGCTTAAAGTGTTCAGTGGCTACAGAAAAATAGTTTGTGATATTTTGGTTATCAGCTGTGGTTTTTCTGACTGTACCTGAATACCCTCCCTGCCTATTCCACAGGCATTTATTTAAGCAAGAAGAACACAGAAGAAAAATAACTTCGTTCACTATAGAAACTATACCCTGTGTGTTGACTAGAAACAACGTTGGTTTGGGTTGAAATTAAGTTCTTGAAAAGTGGAGTGCATGCCAGTGATCTCACATCAAGGAAATCTGGGTCTTGCCATGAATGTTTGTTTGTGTTGGTTAATGAAGAAATCATAGCAAACAGCGAATGAAGGTATAACTGAGACACAGAATCCACAGAGAATGAGGGTTTTCCTTGCAGCACTTCAGCCATTCATACCTTACAGGTGCACTGTCCCGTTTGATCACTACAGGAACATTTTCTGGTCTCTGAATCACAACTTGTGGCATCTGTCCCTGGAAGGAAGCATTGACAGAGACTGCAGTGAGGGTAGTTCCAGTGACCTCGGTTGCACTCCGAGCATCTCATACCAGAGAATTTTGAATGACAGCTGCACTGGCCGGTGTTTACATTGCACTGTGAATCCAAGGACCCAATTGTGCTGCAGTTACAAGCCTGTGGAAGAGAGAAAAACATCAACTGTTGACACAACTGCATAGGAAGCATCTTAATATTTTAACCTTAATATTTTGATCCCACTATGCACATATGAACCATGTACCTATTATATGCTTTGTAATGCTGGAATTCAGTCCTTTGGGACACATTGGTGAACATAGAATAAAAGAAACAATAAATCAAAACCTATATTTTTTTCTAATCACATCTGTAGTGGCTAATCTCAATAGAGTACATCTTGAATCAACTAGAACCCAATATCTAGGCTCTCCTGTGAAGGGTGTTTTTTAGATTCTTTTCTTATTTGAAATAGGAAGACCCGCCTTAAATCTGGTCTATGCCTTGTTACAGCCTACCAAAAAGGATGTGGAAGAAGGAAGCTTTGCTCTTTGCCTGCTTTCCTTCACTCTTGCTGTCAAGTTCATTTGTCCTGTTGCTGAGTCATTTCTTTGCTGGTATTAAAACAAGGTTTGTGGCATTCCAATGTAGACTGAAGACCAGCAGCTCTCCAGAATCCTCCAGGACTCCAGAACCATATTGGGACTGCTCAGACATCCAGCTTCATGGATGGAGCAATTACAGGAGTCTTTTTCTTTGTGAGACAACCCTTGTTTGGACTACCTGGACAGAATCTTGTAAGACATTCTAATAAAGCCCCTTTTAATATACATATATTCATATTCATCTATCTCTTTCTGTTCCTGATCAATACAATAACCCTCACATAACTCACTTAAAGAATAGCAGATGTACAATGTACTTTCAAAATCAGGATGATTTAGTAATTCATAGAATTTTTTTCTTTGCCAATTTCACTGAGTAAGTGTGGAATTGCTTAAATAAAATAGAAAGAAAATAATGATATTGTATGGAAACTATAACCATGGGATAGATTTTAAAAGGTTCCAAAAAGCATCATTATTTTTAGATGACAAAAAATATAAAATGTCTTCCAACCGATTTGTTGTATACAATCAAATAACTAGCTCTTGAGGATTACTGACAGTACAAATAGACTTTGGAATCATTCCAGATCAGGAAGTTTATTTGAGAAATTACAGTGGGAATAAATGAGACAACTAACTGTGTGTTTAGATAGCACTATACCCAACATCAAACTTAAATTATAATTGGATGTAATGTTTGTTTAGCAACAGAGGATTTATTCGCCTTTCCTCTGCTAGTGAAGAATGGCAGGCTTGATATTCTACTGCAACTGCAGTGACAGCTCAAATGATGTGTGTGCTCACACCTCAGCACGGAGCAATTCTCCATGGCAAAAAAAGAAGAGACTCTCTCAGTTCCAAATCACTGTAGTTTTAAATTATACTCACCCAATAGGAGAATGTCTTCTCATAAATAATTTCTAATAGCCACATGGTTTTTATAAATCCTTCTAATAATAAAATGTGCAGTTACTCAGAAATTTGAGTTGCTTTAAACAATAGTTAAAAGTAATGAAATTCAATTGAAATTTCAATCAATATAACTTTTATTCAGTGACCAGTAAAAGGGTAAGTCCCAAGTAACTCTTAAAGACACTAAGCCCTATTTAAATGACTTGATGTATACACTGATTATAAAGAATCAGTTTTGATTTCAAGAATTTCATTAAAATTTGGCCTTATTGTAAGCTTTGTGGTTAGAATGTATTCCTATGACTTTGAGTTTTTAAAAAAAAAACTATTCCAAGTGACAGAGTGGATAGATACTTAGGTTTGACATTAAAATGCAAATGATAATAATAATAATAATAATAATAATATAATCACTTCAAAACTCAGAGCACTGTTTATACTTTTTTTTTCCAAGACAGGGTTTCTCTGTGTAGCTTTGGAGCCTATTCTGGCACTCGCGCTGGAGAACAGGCTGGCCTCGAACTCACAGAGATCTGCCTGCCTCTGCCTCTGCTTCCCGAGTGCTGGGATCAAAGGCATGTGCCACCAACACCCGGCTTCAAATTCTTAAAAATTACTGTTTTTCAAAATGTAGCATGATAGGATGTCAACCTTAATAACTACCATGAAACGTAAGAAAATGAGTGTCTTTTCCAGTGTTTATGCCTTCAGCTCACTTAATGGAGCGTGGTGTGAACTTTCTTAAACACTTACTGATACTTAAATTCTTTTTTGAGATCAGTGTATTGGCGAGCATTCACTTACATTGAAATTTTTCTGAAATCTCTGAGAATTTTGAAAAATGTATTTTGATTATGTTCACCCTCAATACTTTCTGGTAACTCCTTCCAACACCCCTAGCTTTCTTCACCCTCCTACTATGTGTTTCCTGTGTTCCCTTTTTAGGTTTTTAAATAACCCATCAGCTCCAATTTGTGTTGACAGTGTACTCCTGGTGTGGGCCAGCCACCAGAGCATGGATGCCCTACAAGGAGCCACACCTTAAATAAAAATTGATGCTTCCTCCTCTAGAAGCCATCAATTCTCTATTTCTCCTCACAGGGAGGTGGAACGCCTTCCTTTTTAGCATATGTAAAGATGGTTTCCATCTACTCAGTCAAAAATATAGTCTAGCTATCTATGCAGGACAATGTCACGAGACTGAAAAATATAATCCACCTATCTACACAGGACAATGTCATGAGGCTGAAGAAGCCACACTTGGTCACCACTTTACAGGATTCCTAAACTCATGGTAACTGACTGGAAGGACTGTTACCACCTTTTAAAATGCCTTTATTTACCTCTTTAAACCATGCAAGTACAGTTTGACTCTCACCTCACCTGGACCTGTTACATTTCACACACACACACACACACACACACAGACACACCCCAAAACACCTAGATCTGAGTTTAAATGATTATACTATAAAAGCAAAATAAATAAATAAATAAACAGAAAAAAATGGTTTTAGACATTAGATAACAAAGTATAAAACTATTATTTCTGAGAAAAGAGAAAGAAATGAGACTGTGACTGGAGGCAGCTTCCAAGGCTGTAACACTAAAGAGAAAAATCAGACAAAATCCCAGCAAAGAGCTGAGCTGAGAGACAATGGTACTTATTTTGAAAACCCGAAGAAGCTAGAATTTACAGGATCAAACATAATGTACTCAGAATGGGAGTTTTCTGTGAAAAAAATCTAGAGAAAGGCAGGAGAATGGTTGAGATGTCACTGAATTCCAATGTGCACAGGGAAGAAACAGAACTCTGTGGTGGGAGAAACTAAAGCATTGAAGACATCTAGAAAGAAACATTTCTAGACATCACAGAAATCTTAGGTTGTCTAATGGTTCTGATTATAAGATGGGAGAAATTCCACAATGAATTCTGTTACCAGAAGGGTCAGAGGGAGGCTCACGTGCCCTAGATTTAAGTTTTTTTTTTTTTTTGTCACCTTCCCTATGAAAACATAAAAGTAAGGTTCCCAAGGGTCCAAATGATCAGTGAATAAACAGTGTAAAGGAATACAACAAAATATACAATGCATTTTACCTAGTCCCCAAAATATCAGGAATGAGAAATAATACTGAAGGTCTTGCAATATGATTTGTTCCTTGCTAGAAAACCACACTGATGAAAACATACTGCTCACATAATTATATAAGAAAATAGAAGAGCCCCAAAAATCATGAACATGAGAACAATTACTTTAATAAGGGGACCAAGCTAATTCAATAGGAAAGGAGTCTTTTCAACAAATGATTTTGTGAAAATTGGACCGCCATAACAAAGTGAATTTTATTACCTCAAACTAGGTAAAAATTGATATTAAATGTTGAATGTGAACCTCAATTTAAGAGCTAAAATTATAAAAATTTATAGAAACAACAGGAAAGAAACCACTAGACTTAGGCAAATAGATTCTTCTAAGAAAAAATATAAGAAATAGGATCCAGAAAGGAAATGATACAAAAACTTGTTTATACATATAAAAATAGATGAAGATACTAAGTAAAAAGCAAGTTACATTCTGACTCAAGGTAGTTAAATTTGGCTCCTCAGATTCCTTTTAACCAGTCCTTGAAAATATAACCAAGTTCTCACAATTTTAACAAGACATTGGCAAATTAATTTTTCAGTTCCTTTTCTGTCACAGATATATTTTCTTATGTCTAAGAGTAAGATAGTTATTTGGGGTTTTATTATAGATTTATTTTCCCTTCCCTTCTATTATGTAGGCATCATGAATTCAATTAATTAGTGTCCCTAGCACTGCAAAGTAAAGACGAGTGTCTTTATGATAGTCTTTGATAATTTTATGTTATTTTATGATGTGATATTGGATTGAAATGTACCATTACAGACACTGACTGAATGAACTCTATAAGAAAATGATTAGGTGACAACAGCGATCCACTCACCTTACAGCCAGTGACAATGCTGTGGCCCCAGGTGTTGGGAAGACACTCAGAACATTTTTCTCCAATGGTATTGGGAGGGCAAATGCATTGGCCAGTTTTTGGGTCACAATTGTTGCCCAGATGGGAACAGTCACAAGCTTCACAAGGGAGAGAGAAAGCAAAGATGAGTCAGAGATGCTTAATGCATTATTTGTTCTTTCCATTTTTCATACTACATTTAAGGATCCTTGTGGGGGAGGATGTACATACTTTATTATTTATACAATAGTACAGTATCTTTCTGAAAAGTGTTGTGTCAATAAATGTTGCGTTTCACTTAGCAATTTCAAAATTTTGGTACTTTTTGTTTTTCTATTAAATTTCAAGAAGGAAAGGACATCTGTTACCAAATCCTGTCTTAACTGTCTTCTACCCAGATACAATAAAGTGTAATATTTTTGTTCGTGTACTTATTTTATGTATTGATTGTAGAAGCCAACTGTTCTTTAGTTAGAACAACGAGGGGCAACAGTCTCTTGGGGGCAGTGGATTCTGTGTTGAGGCTCAGGGGGTTTGGGGGCTCTGTAGGGCAGAAAAGGGAACTTTGAGGTGCAAAGTACCATCTATGTATGGTCTATTTTGCTGCAGCCTCAGAGTTGTAAATTCCAAAGGAACTTGCTATGTTTTCCCCTTTGTCAGGAGCTCCCTAACTACATACAGATGCTATTGGTGAGTAATTGTTCAGAGTTTCTTGAGTCACCCCAGGCTTTGAGGTTTTCAGCTCTTTATTCTAGAGCCCAAGAGACTACAAAGGGAAAGGGACTTTGTATTCATCTGACTGTTTCCTACTGAGTAGGAGTGGGCTCAGGTTTCTAGGGACTATCCTAGGATCTAAAGGGGATTTAGATAGTATTTATTTCAAGCTAATGAGTATTTTCTTTGCTGTAAAAATTAACTTTTTTCCTGATAATGACTTTGCTTTTCCATAAAACTAACAAACCAACATCTTAAATACAATACATCATGTGTGTAGTTATAAATAACAGAATATATTCCAGTTTTATATATATTTAAAAAGCAACCCATTATAAAACTTTCCAAGTGGAATTATTTCTATTTCCTTTGGACATGAACTTGTTATCTAAGAATGTAAGAACTGGGTTTCAAGAGACCCTCAAAGCCAACCATGAGAATTGATGCATGCCACTTAGAGTGTAGACATGACTCAACTTGTAAGAATACAGTTAAGAACAGCACTTGATTTAAAAGAAATTATTACAAGAAAATAAATAACAAATACTTGAATTCACTTTGAAGATCAATGCTGTGGGAAAGCTTTTAATTGGTTAGCTGATGGTTAAATCATTTTAATTGAGTCTACTTAGGTATTTGATTAAGTTAAATTTTAAGGGGTCATAATTATTATTACTCAAAATGATACATACCAGCAGTGAACGTTTAGCACCATGATTGACATAGAGTAAGTGCCAAATAAATGCCAGTGGTTATTATCTTTGCTATTGTTTTCTCTAATCCTAAGATGATATATTTATTTATATGACATTCATTAAGAAGAAAAATAGCATTATGTTAAACTTTATGTACTAAGAAACATGTTGGGCCAGTTTGAATCATTGTTTGGAAATAGAAATTCTCTAGGTAGAATTTCAGACAGGGAAACTTGAGCAATGACTTAGTTTTCTCTGTCAAAGCACAATGTATGCTACAAGTTAATAAAGACAATGGTAAGAATCACACAATACTGATAGTTAGCCATTACTCTAAATCTATTATTAACTCAATGAATTCCTACAAATCCTCATGACCTAGATATTATTGATACCCTTAGGTAAAAGATGAATGTTGCAGAAAGAAAGCATAGTCAAATCACACATCCAAGGTCATAAAACTAGTTATTGATGGAGCCACTAGATACATATAGGGTATTTAGTGTTAGGAATAATACTCTTTTCTTTTGTATTTTTATTAACTAATTAATTAATTAATTAATTAATGATCACTTTCCCCCCTCTCTCCCTCTTCTCCCATTCCTTCCCCGATCCACTCCTCCTCCTTTCTCTTCAGAAAAGGGAAGGCCTCCCATGGATATCAGCCAGCCATGACATAATAAGTTGCAGTGAGACTAGGTACCTCCTTTCCTATCAAGGCTGCATGAGGCAAATCAATCCGAGGGAAGGTTTCCAAAAGCAGGTAACAGAGTCAGAGACAGCCTCTGCTCCCACTGTTAGGAGTCCAACAAGAAGACCAAGCTACACAACTGTAACATATGTGCAGAGGGCCTAGGTAGATCCATCGCAGGCTCTCTGGTTGACAGTTCAGTCTCTGTGAGCCCCTACAAGCCCAACTTATTTGATTCTGTGGGTTTTCTTGTGGTATCCTTGGCCCCTCTGGGTTTCATAATCCTTCCTCTCCCTCTTCCATAGGATTCCTATGGAGGTTTTCCTAATGTTTGGCTGTGGGTCTCTGTATCTGTTTCCATCAGTTGCTGGGTACTTTCTGATGACAACTGGGGTATTTAATGATCTATGAGTATTGTAGAATATTATTGGGAATCATTTCACTGACTCCCCAATCACATTTGGTTCTATCCTAGGTCTCTGGGCTATCCAGCTTCTGGGTCCTGGCCCTCCAGGCAGTGTCAGGAGAGGGTTCTTTCTCATTGTATGTGTCTCAAGCTGGGCCAGTAATTGGTTGACTACTCCCATAATTTTTGTTCCACTTTATCCCAGCATATCTTGTAGGCAGGGCAAATTGTAGGTCAAAGGTTATGTGGCTGGGTTGTAATCCCAATCCCTCCAGTGGAAATCTTGCTTTGTTACAGGACATAGCTGGTTCAAGCTGGAAAATATCATCCTGTATGAGGTAAGCCAGACCCAGAAAGACAAACATGGTATTACATACTTATAGATGGATATTAGCGATAAAAAGATAACCATGTTACAATCCACACACCTAAAGAAGGTAAGTAACAAGGAAGACTCAAAGAAGGGAACATGGATCTCACTGTAAAGAGGAAACAGAAAAGACATCACAGGTGGACTGGGAGGGTTCTGGATGGGGGGCATGAGAAAAGGAGGGATCAGCTGGGAGAAAGATGGAAGGAGAGAGTACTGGGAAAGACAACTGGAATCAGGGGAATCTCTGATATGAGCTAGAAGCCTAGTGCAATGGAAACTCCCAGGAATCCATAAGGCTGATGACTCCAGCTAAGACTCCTAGCAAGAGGAGACACAGAGCATGAGGACTATTCTTACTTTGTAAAGACTGCTGTGAAATATAAAGAGAAACAGACAGCAAGATGAATACCATCATTCATTTCTCTTTTCCTGAACTACACAGTGTTACTTGTCCTATACTCCTGACACCATGTCCACTTCACCAGTTTAAAATATAAACTCAAGCTGTAAACAAAAAGTCTCCTTTCTTAAGCTCTCATTATCAGCATTTGGCATGAAAAAACTGACTTCTCTTCATTCTGTTTCTCTGGATTACAATGCAATTAAGTTTGCATTTTGGCATGTTATCACCCTTTATAATTTTGATTATTCTTATTTTTGTTAATAACTTTTGCTAGTAGATTTCATTGACTATATAATAGGCCCTGTGCTGGATAGTTTTTTTGTCAGCTTAACACAAGATAAGATAATTTGGAAAGAGAGGACCTAAACTGAGAAAATGCAAACAGACTGTCCTGCAAGCAAGCCTGTGAGGAATTTTCCTGATTGATGATTGATGTGGGTGGCCCCATCTCAACACCGACGCTGCCACCCCTGTCCCAGTGGTCCTCAGCTGTATAAGTAATTGGGCTGTGCAGTCCATGAGGAGGAAACCACTGAGCAATACCCCTTCATGGCCTCTGTATCAGCTCCTACCTTCTGATTCACACCTTGAACTCCTGTCCAGACTTCTCTTAGTGATGGGGTGTGAGCTAATTAATGTAAGTTGAAATAAACCCTTTCTTCTACAAGTTGCTTTTGGTCACGATGTTTTATCACAGAAATAGAATCCCTGACATAGATAGCTCTGCATTAATTTCATATCATGTTAAAATATTGATGAGAATCGCACTTAAAGATCAGAACATTTTAAGTGGTTCTTTATAATTTTAGTGCTTACAGATATTAGCTTGGAGATCACACAGGTCTTAGGAGATCTCTATCACATCACAATTGTCTCAAAATGACTTTCTTTGATGAAAATCATATGCTTAAAATTCAGGAGATGCTCTGAAAGATACTGGTACCTTAAATACTTTAGAATATTATTTCTATTCTCACATGAATTTGCTATAGTACTCACTGATAACATTTTAAAAGCTTGCCATGATGCTGAGAACACAGTACAGAGGCAATAGCTATCAGTCAATGAACATAGAAAAAAAGGTGCAGTTCATTTCTGTGGTTGTTGGAATGCCATCAATTCCAAATTAATGATATATAAATAAAAGCTAATTTCAGTCTTTACTTTTACTCCTGGTGTACTGATTGTGTGTGTGTGTGTGTGTGTGTGTGTGTGTGTTTGTGTGTGTGTGTTTAGTTCATGATCTGTGTGAAAGTTCTGGCTGGCTGGACTCTTTGAGGGAATCATGCTAGAAAATACTACCTGCATTCTCCCATGAACTAAATGTCAGATCCAACTTGTTTCTTGCCCAGAATGGTAAGCCTTCAAAGTCATGTTTAAGACAAGCATGATTTTTGTACCTGACAAACAGCAGCAGCAACAACGCCTTCAAAGTCATGTTTAAGACAAGCATGATTTTTGTACCTGACAAACAAACAGCAGCAGCAACAACACACTGCCCGCTCTCTTCACAGTCAAACGATTTGGACCCAAAGGAATTGCAGTTGCAGGGAACACAGCCCCTTCCCAATTGCAGACCAAAGGTTTCAGGCTGCCATGGAAAAGAAAAGAAAAGGTAAATCTCAGCAAATGAATTCATATGGAAACAAGTAGCAAGAAATCTAGAGAGCAGTCAGCAGTGAGGAACCCAGATCTCACCAGGCTCCCTTGTGGCATTAACAACTGTCTAATTCGGTGGATTTTTTTTATGTTGACAAAGTACGGTTACTTTGAAATGTCATAAAAATTAATTATCAAAATAGGCATCATGATTCCATCTTATAGTTTCATAAGCCTTTCTATGATTTTCCTTGGTTCTAATAGCAATGCAAAATAGATTATGCACGACCTTTCTGGTTTTAACTTAAAAGTTTACTCACTTTACTGATAACATACTAAAGTGATTACTTTAAGATATTCTGAACTACTTATGCTTTGTTAAAATGCTTTCAATGTTATTGATCAGCATTCTAGTCCTCAAAACTGGTTTGTGAGAAAAGATTATGCACGAGCTTAGAAATGTAAGGCCGGGCCTTTCATCTAAGTTTAAAACTGTAGATCCCTTGTCTACCTGTACCATATCATCTTCTCACCCAGGCTCGTATTACCAACTGTGAAGACATTCTTGAAATACATGTTACCAGGCCCAGGGTAACTATGATTAAAAATTCTGGTGGATTCAGAAATCATCACTACTATTAGAAAAATGAGAACCATATATCATACTTTAATCACACCACTTTTCTTTTTTATAAATATAAAATAAATATAAAATATAAAATATGCCACATTATTATGGCATTTTAATCTGGAAAATTACTCTCTGTAATTACTTCTTTGTCAAAATAATTTGTATTTAGGAAAATTAGACTTCATAATTACTTCTTGGTAAAAATTAATCTTGCCATTTATTGGGAATCACCCAAAGAGAAATGAATAAGCTTCATTATATTTTTTAATATTATTGTTAGCAGTATCAGAAATAAATTCAAGAAATTAAAATTATAATGAGAATTAGACTTAATATGACTAGCTAAGAATAGTTGTACTGTTTAAAATGTACAATGAATTGATTGAACGTGATAATCGTGTTAATTTTTACAGCTGGCTTTATTTTAAATTCTAGTTATAATTCAGATTTCATCCTACTAAAGTAGCAGGTGTGCAAGCAGTAACAACAATGAATACTTTTTAAATTGAATTCACATATATATATATATATATATATATATATATATATAGTTAAAACAGATTTTATTCATATAAGTCATTTCAATGTAAAATCCTTAACCTTAGAAAGATTATCAGATATTAGAACAATGACTAAATAACAAGCATGCTCATTACAAATTGTTTATCATAGCCTGTAATTATGGTGACACTCAAATCTTCACTGTTAGAGAAGGTACTGAATAAATTAAATTATAGTACATTCATGTTATAAAATGAGAGGCAATTAAGTAAAATCTATTTTGAAGCGGTTTTAATGATAGGAATACATTTATGACTCAACACCACATAAAAATTCTAAAAAGCAGCATACACATTATCTAGACTGTGATTCCAATTACGTAATGCACAATGACACATACATCCACAGGCACATACATACCCAGACACACACATAAACACAGACAAACACATGGATATACACTCTCTCACACACGTACCTTCAAACACACACACACGCACACACACACACACACACACACACACACAGAGAGAGAGAGAGAGAGAGAGAGAGAGAGAG